ACGAACGAGTTTCAAGGTTTAGACGAAAATCTGCATTTAGACGTAAAACTGCATTTAGACGTAAATCGGCTTTCCTCGTACAATCATCATATTTCAGTTTACGTTTACGTCTTGATTTCAACTGCATACTGCCTTCTGCGAGTTTACAAACGAGTTTCAAAGTTCAGACGTAAATATGCGTTTAGACGTAAATATGCTTTTTGCAGATTACTTTTTGAGCTGTACAATAGCAGCACACTGTCTTTATACTTCTGCTTAAACTGCTTTTGATCTAAACAAGTGATTTACGAATCGACACTTAGACGTAAACCTGTTTCTTCGTACGAACGTCGGATTTCAGTTTGCGCCGATATTCTGGTTTTCTTCATAGCTGCAAACTGCCTGCATAGATTGACTGCAATCTGGCTTAGTATCAACTTTCATATAGAGCTGTCTTTATCGTTCAAACGCAGCTTTCGATTTTAATCGTACAAAGTTATCCGCTGCACTAATTCACCCCCCCCCCTCTTAGTGCTCTCGATCCTAACACCGCGAATGTCTCAACTCGAGAATCGCCATCCAGTGTGCGAAGGAGAGTAGTTAATCGGCCCGGATCCCGACCAACGCCAACCAGCACTCCTTCCCAAGGGCGCGGCCACCTCACGAAGACGAGCTACCAACCACCCTAGAGACGGAGAGATGCGGCTCAGCATAAACGGCACCCGGATCGGCAGACTGAGGAACGTTGTCCGGGGACAGGGAGCGTCCCAACCTTTGAAGCCGCCGACCGACATCCCCATGGCGAGTGTCCCAACCCCCGAAGTCGTCGACCGACGTCGTCACGGCGAGCCATCAATCAGCATCCGGACCGAGGAATGCTGATCGACCCACCGTCGCGAGGGCCCGATTGACCTCGGCATCCAACTCAATTGATAGAAGACTCCCGACATCGACCCGTGGACCCGACCGTGCTAACTCACCAACCACGACACATTTATTCACTAACACCGATATATAATTCAAAGACTTGAATTGGACACAAGAGAGAGACAGAAAACAATGCTGGTTTTCTGAACATCGTAACTCAAAATTTTCTATGTTTCTTTTTATGCGAAAGGTAAATGACAAGAACGAAATTCTAAGTCCAAGATCTTATGATAAACGAATTTCTTATACTTTTCCTCAAAGGTAATGAAAAAAGAGAGACAGAAAAACCAGCATTGTTTCTTGATGAAATCACTATACAGGTGTATATAATCCGAAGACTTGAATCGGACTCAAAAGGCTAACTGCTATTTATTAGCTTCAATGGTTACCCACCATTTACATCATGGTAATCTTATAGTTCGAAGCAGTACATTCTATTGCAACAAATCAATTAAAATCAAACGAATCGATTTGAATAAAACTCACGTAAGTACTCTTGGACTTGAAGATGAGCTACAAAATGTGGATTGTCAACCTCTGCCTGCTTAACCATCCAAGATGCGTTTGAGACCTGCCCTCTGCTCTGCTGTCAGCCTTGAAGGGAACTTCACCTCAAATAGAATCCTCAAGTTTCCCTTCCTACCTGGCTCCTTAACCATGGGCATCCCTTCCTTGGCGATCACAAGCTCATAGCCCGGGCTCACAATGTCAATTACAGGGATGGAGAGGTTGCGGCCATCCAGGGTGGTGAGCTCCACAGAGGTCCCTGCAAGTGCCTCCACCAGTGAGATCTTCTGACTAATGATTAGATCATTGCCATCCCTCTTGTAAACCTCGTGGGGCTTCTCATCGATGATGAAGACAAGATCTGCTGGTAGCTGCCCCGCCTGTTCATTCCCCTTCTCAGGGAAGGTTATCTTGGTTCCCTTTTTCCATCCAGGCTTCACATCAATCGTTAGTATCTCTGATTCAGGTACCATTCGTCTGTAACATTTAAAACACAATAAAATGACTAAGATTAATAAAAAAGACAGTCCAGGGAGAATCAACATATGCAATTTTAACTCACAACAAAATAGACTATTTCTATGATTCAAACCGAGCAAATTCTTCATGTTTAGAAATATGGAGAGTGGAAGAAGGATCCTTCGACATGAATTCTTCAATTTGTTTCATTCAATATCATGCACAAAAGCATATGGCAAAGAACCAACAAAAACATATATGCTGTCACATGTATTTCAAAGATGCAATACCCCAAGTATACATGCAATATGTCTTGGTTTGTTACAGTAGAAAAAACAACATATAATCATAAGGAAACAATGGGGGTGACCAGAGAGGGAAAGGATTTTACCCACTAGCATCCATGACATTCCTAGATATCTTCATCTTCCTAGTTGATCCAGTGTAGAGCTCTTCCAGGCTGCATGACAACTTACTCTCAACTGCCGGTGGTTTCCGTGGTTGACCTCCCCCGCCAGTTCCGACGCCATCGGTGTATGACCGGAAGACATTCTCAGCCCCGCCAAACCCACCGAAGAGACCGCCATCTGACTGGAACCTCATCGACTTGGCACGCCCCGTGGATCCAAACCCGAACGGGCTGCTACCGAAGAACTCAGCAAATATATCTTCAGCATTTCGAGGATTGAACTGGATGTCGTTAGGGCCACATGAGGAGCCGGGAGGGGGCATGCCTTTCAATCCTTCTTCTCCATATTGATCATAAACTCCTCTCTTCTGTGGATCGCTTAGGACCTGAATCGAAACAGATTATGAACATTCGGCACATGATCATCCCAAATACCATCAAGAACAGAATCAGAAAAATAATACCAATTCGTCTTCTAATTTAAAAGGTCTCTTAAATTTACTAGGATCATAATGAATCCATGACTATCTATACTCATCCCACGAGCTCTCATAGGCAAAAAGGCAAACACCTTGCAGACCTGCAAATCAAACCTTACCATGATCCGAATTGTTCGAGAAAAGATGGATGGCGAGCAAAGAGGTGATCTAAAGCAACTCAGAAAGCTGTTTCAGATCCTTAATTTGACTTGTCCTATCATCTCTAGTTGTATGATATAGAAACAGAAAAACATGTTGAGAAAATGCAAGATCTAACCCAGCATATAATTCGAAGAAAGCAAGCCCTTTTATAGCTATTTTGTGTCACATTACATCGCAGATGATAAGCAATCCGTTAAGAAAAGTGTGTTTCTGTATAAAAAGAAAGAGTTACAATTGTGGATAACAGATCTAACGAAAACACTAAGCCATGCTGACCAAAAGAAAGCAATAGTTTTGGATCACCCGACATATATCATCGAATGATTCCAATCTAATGTACTTACTTCGTATGCTTCTGAGATCTGCTTGAATTTGGCCTCAGCTTCCTTTTTGTTGGTCGGATTCTTGTCCGGGTGCCATTTCATCGCCAGTTTCCGGTACGTTTTCTTGAGATCCTCATCGGATGCGTTCTTGCCCACCTTCAAGATGTTGTAGTAATCGACACCCATTCCCTATCACAAACCACGAATCCACCAAAAAATGCCCCAATTTCCAGCAGAGAGACAGCCAAGAAGAAGCAGCAGATCAAAGCACGAGATTTGGAAGTTCCCTTCCGATCTAGCCCACATCCACTGTAGATGAAGGGGAAGACAAATCACAAGCTTGAATTCCAAGGCTTTGATCGGTGAGAAGCATAAGATGAGAAGGAAACGTTGCACATCCTTGATTCTATAGCTATTGGTCTCGATTGATTCGCGGGGAACAGAGGAGCTCTCGTTGCACGTTGCACCAAACGCGAAAGGGCGATGAAATAGACGGACAACAAGAATATATAGAATTTGGATCCTCTGCGCCACGTTGACCATCTGTTCTTGCAAACGAGCGGTCCTGATGTCTTCGCTCAGACCACTGGTTTCTACGTACGCACTATCCTACAACCATAGTCACGCGTGGCGTCCGTCCAATGGAGAAGTAGGGAACCACCGAAAGCCATGTTGGGCATACGAATTATGCGGGCGTCTTCCTCTCCTTATTATTTATTATGATTATAATTATCGTCATCATCATCATCTCAACCGTTGATATTATAAGATATAGTATAATAATGATAATAATAAAAAAACGATGGCTGGGCCCTTCGCCTCCCTGCCTTCCGACGGCCATACCTTTCGGATAACACACACGACAGCCACCGAGAGCGAGGAAAGCGCATCGCTTGTTGGAAGCAATGGCCGCGGTGGCGGCTCTTCTCTCGCCTCCTTCCTCCCTCACCAATTCGTACTCGCCTATTCCCCCGCGTTTCCTCATCGCTCGGTGCGTTGGAGATCGAATTAGGGCGCTTCCCCCACCTTTGCCTCCGATGTGGTGCTGTCTGACTCTGTTGTTGGCTTTTCACCTACGCAGAGATGGAAGTCGCAGTGGTCCGAGGAGGAAACGTCGAAATGGGAGGGCAAGCGCTCCTGTCGTCTGTTGTCATTGCACTACGCCGACTTCGATGAACAGCTTTCGCAGGAGGAATTTATTGCTCTCGGGCCTCTCGTCTTCCTTTGCTCTCATTCTTCCGATTTCTGGTAAGATATTCCCGTCCTTCTTGACTGCCCGTTTTCTAATGGATTTATGTTGAGTTACACATCCAGCAAAAGATACAATTTGAAGTCTGACAACGTCATATCGAAGTTGTTATTGACGGAACCAAATGGTTTTCCTTTAATTTTGCTTCCGAAGAATATATTTACATTAACTTGCTGAGCCATCACTTGTTCTACTTGAATTTTCTTTTCTACTTATATTTGTTGCGTCTCTGTAGATTTGCGTGCCTCTGTCGAATTAGATGAAGATGTGAAGATGGATTTACTGGTTGATGACATAAATGCGTATTCTTTCCTTTACCCTGTCAAATTGCCAGCTAAGAAGTTTGCTTTCAAATGGTACTTCCTTGGGTGAATCTTTTATATGTCTATACTTCTTCTGCTACATCACTTTATAGTTCACTTCCCATCTATGAGTTATATATATTGGTAATTTAAAAAAAAAATCCTAAGTTTCTGTTCTGTATCGAACAATAGCATCTGATTGGTGATCCTTCTAGGACTTCTGAATCAAGCAATAGCATCTAATCAAGTAATATCTTTCTACTAATTGAATCATATTATTAAATATTTGTTTTGTATATAAAATAGTATGTATCTTGACAGAAGACACATGCATATACTAGCTCCTGATCATGGTCGGAGATTTGCAATCTACTAATACTTAATGCCTCATTTTTTTTAACATTTAATTTGATGGAGGAAGCGTAGCATCGTCAGAAGTTTTATCTAGTAATTCCCAAACCATCATGTGGACCATCTTCCCTCTTCTTTTTGTTTGTTGCTTGGTTATATTTCTGAACACCCTATGACTGATCGGATTTTGTCATGTTGAAGTTTCAGCATATAATACTATAGGAATTATTGAAAACAGATGTAGATAATTCACTAAATTGGTTTACTTATTGCGTGTACATTCCACTTTAAGTATACAAAATTCCTTATGAACCATAAAAAGCACATTTCTCTTCATTTTCTTTGCTTTCTTTCCAATTTCTTATTCATCTTAACTTCCATTTCTTTGAGGTTTTGATTCTTCTCATTTAGTTGCATATTTGATTTGATGGCATCATGAATGCAAAATTGGAAACTCAAGCATTTACTATTGGACATACTACAGTTCGTATTGGACAGTTTGATGAATGTATATGTAATAGATAATGAACCAGGTGTGGAGGCAATTCTGGGAGATCATTGAATGGTATAATAACTGAACAGAAAACAGTTCAAATCAATGACTGCCCTTGCAATAAAAAAATTAGCAATGAGGCTCAACACCTCTGTAACCTGAATAAAAATTCTTCCAGGCAGCCAGAGGTTTATCAACAACAAATTTAGAGGGCGCACTTAGTTTCACTAATGGTTGCTCCTTTGTGACCTGATTTACTAGGGTTCAAAGGTAAGACTGCATCTGTTGTCTCTTCTCAGACCCCACATTAGCTGGTCAGTGGGCTGCTCTTAAAAGAGTTTCAGCATCAAAAGTAGGCACTGCAGAGGTGGGGGGCCTTTGACAAAGTGGAGAGTATTGCATTCGAGGAATATGCAAGACGTGTATCGGCTGAGCACAAACTATTCTGAGCCAATTGAGATGGCATGGACATGCGCACTAAACAAGAATTAGCAATCTTTTTAATTGAATTTCAGCAAAACTAAAAATGAGAAAACCATACTTTTTCTATAAGTTTTAAGGTCTCAGGAATGCCATGTGTCTAACTGTCTAAGTTCACCTTTATTAGCACTTCAAAGGTTAATATCCGCTAAAATATAATAAATTGTATTACACGGCTTTCCACCATTTCATGCCAAACGTTTCATGACTCTATCTCTTCTATCTTATATTTTATTTTTATCATATATGCTTTTATATGATAAAATTAATTAATTGCATTTTATTCACCTTGTCAAATTATTAAGGATTATGGATTTGGCATGAATCTAGATCATGTGTAAGTTTATTAAGTATAGTTCATGGAACCATGCAAAATTTCATGAATTGTGAAACCAGTAGCATATACAAAATCTTGCTTATTCTCAAGTTGCTCGGACAAGCATTATCAAATCAGATTAAGTAGCTTGATCAAATCAATCAAGTAGGAATTTGAATGGTTTTCCTACTAGTCAATGATGTCATTTATTATTTAAGCTTCAAATCTTGTGTTTACAGCAGAAAACAACATCTACCATATTCTAGATGTGTATTTTGCATCTCCAGCTCAACCCTTCTTGTTTGGTGAATCATCCACTCACTATCTGCAATGAATTGCTAAGCCAATTTCGATGTGCTGCTTTCTGTAAATTCTTTCTTTCTTCAATTTTTATCTGCCAAGTAGTGATATCTGATTTTCTAGATCCTGTTCCTTGCAAGCTATAAAGTATTATATATTGTTTTATTTAGCTGGCCACCTAGATTAACAAGAATTTTTCCATCATATCTGTTGGTTCTACCTAAGTTTAGATGGACTGAATAGTTTCTCTTTACCTATGAAGAAACACCTTGGATCGATATGCTTTGCTGCTCCTTCAGGAAGTGTCACTTTAATTTAAAGTGTCATCAAATATGTTACTAATTCTTTTCTCCTGAAATTAATTGCCTTTGCAGCATTTGATTTTTACCATTAACAACAACTCATTTTTAAGTACATGTAAAATATCCATAAAGCTTCCATAACATTCTAATCATTTTGAAGGGTAGAATCCAGAAAGCCAGAACGATACTCGTCTGCTGCACCACTATCACGTGAGTAATATATTGCACTTTTGTTTTAGGTTCTTCTTTGGAACTGTTGGGTACCAGCCAGCCACTTACAATTCTTTATTACTTCAGTAAGAATCCCGTTTGTTTTTCAAATTTTTTAATAATTAGCACAAGTGACTAATCTTTAATGACTGCATTGTTATACAGCTGATGCACGGCAACGCATTGTGTCTGAGCGTGTCGACATGATCAATAACCTGGTCATCTCTGTCTCGGTAACTTTAATTGACTATACAAGCAGTGAACAAACTTTAAGCAATTTAAAAATGTGATTTATTCTTATTCTTCACCTAAACACAAACGCCTGTTTTCCCAGTTGCACCAATCTGTGTCAAGGATTTTTGTGGTCATGTTTTGCTTGAGGATATCCCTTAAGTCAATCAGATGCCTATCCAACTCATTGGTTTGATCTTTACTCTTGACATCCTTGTTGCAGATTGGCCCTCCCAATCCACGCTTCCTAACTTCAAATGACAAGAGTGCCTGGAAGGCAAAAGATGTTGCTGATTCTGTTTTATCTGACAAGACTGCACTGGTAGTCACTTGCTCCCTTTTTTTATCAGCTGTTGAAGCTTACATGAACTTTCTGTTCTTTTTCTTCCTGTAGTCTTTTTTTCTATACATTCCTTGTTAAAAAATTGATTTCATGCCAGATGTAATTCTTACAATGCTATTACTGTAGACATTGAGCCAGAATGGATGCTTGTGAGCATTTTAAAGCTACCAAATGGTTGTATTTCCTTTTTCCTTTTAAATAGTTGTTTAATTGAACTGGCTTGTCCAAACATACTCCCACTCCTGCTTATTCAATATTCTCTTGCATTTGATGTGTGTATATGTATATCTATATGTTTATATATAAAGACTTATGATGATATTCTCCGAGCTTAAAATCTATTTAATTCATTCACCTAACTTCAGGCCATTGATCACTAAGATTGAATGTGTAGTTGTATTAACATCTCTTACAAGAAGTCTGATATAAGAAAGGAGAGCCTAGTGCATGAGGCTGTTATGAATATAGGATCTATAGGAGGGTATTTGTGCACAGCTTGCAACCAATTGGTTACTTCCATGACTCAACTTCTAGCATCCTAGGTAAAATGGAGCAATCCTTCTATAGCACTAAGGCTCGCCTTTTACTAATGTGAATGTTTTGCCACATAAATATCAAAATGCTTGCACTAACATAGGATGACAATCTTTTCTTGCATGAAGAAGATGCTAATCACTGCACCAAAAGTAAAATTACTTGTTTGGCCATCACACGGGTGGTGTAATATTGGTTAGTTATTGTGTTTTTTATAGACATAATAACTACTTATCTTAGCAGGTGCATATTGACAACTCATATGCAACATAGTGCTTGCACTATGCAGGATAGTTGTTTGACCTAAAACTCTTGTGGTTAAGAGTCCAATTCATATTTCCTTTAAAGAACAGAAATAGTATGATAAGGTCTTTAGTCAAGTTTCATATATTCTCTAGCACATAAAAGACAGTTGAACTTGAAAGTTTACTGTGGTTAGATTAAGCCTATTATAATATTTCTAGTTTCTTGGAGATCCTTTGTAACTTAGGTTATGTGTTATATGGAATATTACTTTTTATAGTTGAGCCATGGCCCCCAAAATGGTTAAAATTTTGGGCCCACTGTCGGTATATTTCTCAAAATTCAACTGGATTAGTTGAAACTAATGATATTTTGTTAGGATAGACATATATAAGATACACCTTTAGGTGCATTAGCTATTGTTTTTTATGTTATCTTAATGAAACATAGGCATGCCTTACTCTTTTTTACATTGAGTTCAAACTTCAAATACTGATTGCATTCTCCTGGTGTTTATTATTTGATATTAAACCTATTCTTTTGCAGCGTGTAACAAGTGGTCAGCGCATGGCTGAGAGTTCTGTTCTTGATTCACATTCCCTTGATGTAAGCTGAGTCTGAGTTTACTAGACATGCCTCTGATTTTCTCTTTGTTCTTAAAGCCCTACTGTTTCTATGATTAATAATGATGTCAACCTATCTTGTCATTTTATGCAGGTTGGTGGTGAACCGTACTGGTATTATGAGTATCTTATACGTAAATCACCGACAAAATCTGTGAGTACTTATATATTTGGAATGAAAATACACGTTCCTCCTCTTTTCATAACTTTTATCATTCAATCAGTTAATTTCCTTCAAGTTATTGTACTTTTGAAATTTTATGTGCTAATCTTGATTACTGATATTTTCTCAGGCACAAGAACCAAATCTTTTTAGGCACAACGTGGCTTCAACTGCTGAGCGAGATGGTATTAATGATTGTCCTTCTGACAAGGCTATTTGAGTATTCATGTTTCTTCTAACTGTATATGTTAACCATTGCCTGCTGGATGTGCTTTGAGCTTAATAATATGCTAGACATTTGACTACTTTCTTTATTCAGTTTTTTTGGAATGTGCTTCTGCTCATTTTAACCTTCTTTGAGCAATAAATAAGTACAAAAAGTGCATAGGTGTAGCCGACCTGTTCTTTAAGAGCTTTGTATTTCAGGAAGTGCTTCATTCTAAGTATATCTCATGGCACTTTGCTTTCAATTGTAAATGACATCCTGTTTCCCTTTCCCAGGCTATTTGTACTCTTTGAATGCATCAACTCTTAGCAAGCAGTGGGAATATGTAAGTTGCTCACTTGCATTAATACTTGTGCTCTATGAGATCTGCAGAGTTCTTAACTGTGATTTTTAATTCGAGCCATAGTCATAGTTCTGACGTTAGCAAACAATATTCATGCTCCTACTAAATTGATTGAATCAAATTGTCTCTCAACTGCAAATGCAGCTTGATATTTTGACAACATATACCCTGCCATGCAAAGTTTAATTTACTAAAGGTTGCTTGTTATGATTCTATTGAAGAAGAAAATTGAACAAGTAACTACAGTAACAAAGTCAAATAGATGTACTGATTATGAATCTTTTCAAGTTAAATTATGATGGTTGCATGATGACACAGAAAGACAGATGGAGGGGCGGTCATCAACTAACCTAGACGCAAGTTATGATGAGCGCTTCGAAATTTTCAGTAATATATCAATAGCAGTTAGTATGAGTGATTGGTGAAGAGGATGGCAAAAATATGGTGAATATAATTGGAGAAAACATTGATAGTTATTTTGTTTGTGAACGAGGAATAGACTTCAACTGATCCAGATGTGAGTTATAAGAGGTACTTCGAAGGACTTGCAGTAACAACGAGTTTTCAGTTGTGAGAACTCTTGATAGTTATTTTGATTGTTGATTTTGCCTCCAAACCTGATTATGCTAAATAATGATGCCTAATAAAGGCAAAGTGACAGAGATCAATAGAAACCTGGACCTCATAATCTCATGAATTGTTTGCATGCCAAAATTTCTTCAAACATATGGTGGGTGTTTCTTATAATATTCTGTTTGTTATGAGCAGAGAATGTATATAGACATCCATCTTACAACAAAACAAATTTATTAGTTTGATGGTTGTCCTGCCTATTAGTATCACATATTGTGAAAACTAAAGTTGTGTTTATGTCTAGAACCTGAAGCGTGTCCTATCGGGGAATGAATGCAGTATTCATATTATGCTGTTGACATTTGACCAATTGATGTTATTATTCACTTGATGCAACCGATAGGTTGCAGGTAGAATTTTCTCAAGCTCCTAACCACTGAACATTTGGATCTGATGCAGTTGGGTCCTTTTCTACAAAAAACTGTGGCATCTTTTCGCCTTCTTCCTCCTACAGAGAATTATGTTCCTCCATACAAGGATCCTTGGAGATTTTGGTAACAGTGTTTCTTATACTTTGGTATACAGATTTATCTCCTGTAAATAATTTGCACTGTCCTTAGATGCATATCTTTTTGTTCCCTCGGCTAATGACTTTTCACTTCCTATTGTCCAGGTAAATGTAGAATTTGAGCGGTTGACGAAAATTGGTCTTTACGAAGAAGGAGAAATATCATCCTCTGTTCCGCCAACTATTTGGTCATCATGCTTTATTTTAGAAGTAACAAGTTAACTCATTGGCAGACTACTGGACTTATTCGTTTCGGCGATGTCAACCATGACAAGAGTGCAAGAAGAATCATGGATGATATGGAGCAGTGAAAGGTTCCAGATTTTCTTTTCTTTTCTTTTATCGAGTCTGTTGCATAATTCGAGATATTTATTTGCTTCAATCAATTTCTGGAGCTTCTATTGTTGAAGCTTATTGTTCCTCAACAGTCTTGCATGATATCTTTTATGATGAGGTCCTCTTCATTTTCAATCTGAAATTGTGTGATATGATAAATTCTTGCGCATCTTATATCTTCCCAAAAATTTAATTGGATTGTTTCGTTGTCAGAGTCCGATTAGACTTGAAAAAACATTCTTAACCTTGGATTATCTCAAGAACAGGTTTATAGCTCGGTAATAACATTGTGGAAACCTCACTTCTATTGGCCAATAAACTGAATCACCCTCCAAAATTTGAACAACAATTGGAGAAATGTCATACAGTGATACACTTTTACGGCTATCCTGATGTGTTAGTTTTATCACAATACAGAGTGATAGTGTTATTTGCATAAGAATCATCCTTTTGATATGAGTAAGAAGCCTTATGGATCTATGGTCCTTGATTCCTGTAGGGAAAAATGGCATGCAGAGACTGCCTCATTCACCGAAAGAAAGACCCACTCTTCTCCTATCAGTTCAATGTACTTTGCCAATACCAACTTCTCTGCAACCTGCAGCCTGGGATTTGCTAACACCACCTGCAAAACAAAGTGCAAACAGCATCCCTTCAGTGAACAAGAAATTTGCAAGCCTTTCTGGTGTCAGGGCTTGTAACCCTACCCTGATCTGTCTTCTCTCAAGGTTCCTGTAGACCTCTTGTAGCATGCCAATCCCAGTATTATCGATGGTTGTTACTCCTAGAACACACCAAATTAATTCAGCCTAAAAGCCAATAACATCACACCAAGAATGGATCCAAAGCAACTGTGGCTTACCACCCATGTCAAGAATCAGATAATGCAACTCCTCCCCATTCTTGTTGGCAATGCTCTCTTCTGTTTCTATCCATCTTAAGATCCTAGTCTCATAACGAAAAGAAGAGATCAGCTATCATCAGCGTAAACAAGTTGAAGACAAGGTCAAGGCTTTATGTTTACCTCTCTCTGGAATAGCTGGCATTTGCATAGTAGAGAGGTGAACTCATCTTTAAGATGAGCATGTTGGGAATGCCAACACAGTCTGGATATTGCTCAATGTCACGATACATGTCAGTCCCTGCTATGTTCCCAAGTTTGCAAGTATTTGGCCTTGCCACATACAGTAGTGCTCTTATCACCGACAAGCCCACCTGCACAACATAGCTTAGCAAAGAAGAAGATGATTCACTGTTTCTAAAAGAAAGAAATGAGATTGCATTGGGTACTTACTGAAACCATAAGACCAATGATCATGCTGAAAAATATGACGCCAAAGAAAGCAGCCATGCAAATGACGAAGTCAAACTTGTCCACCTTGAACAGATGATGAGCCTTTTCATACTCGATCAAGCCAATCATGGCGACAGTGATGATTGCTGATAAAGACACCAGCGGGGTGTACTTGAAGAGAGGCGCTAAGAACAACAAAACTAGCATCATGCAGATCGACATGATCACATTGGACATTGCAGTCTTACATCCTGCATCGAAGTTGACCGCTGACTTGGAGAAAGGACCTGTACGAAAGGAATGAATTCGAGGAACATATATTTAGATGGTGTATCTATGTAAGTGAAGACCTATAAACATATGAGGATAAAAGGATTTACCAGTTGTCAGATAGCAAGAAAACCAAGACCCAACAATGTTCATCATCCCAAAGGCTATCATCTCTTTGTTCCCATCAATTTGTTCATTTTTTAGCATTGCCAGACTCCTTCCGACTGCTATTCCTTCCTGAAATAAGCTGGTGAATGATCAAAACCTGAGAAGAAAAGTACGTAAAACACAGAATCATTGTTATCTTGTCCTTTTACCGATAGTGCAAGGAAACCAGTCACCAAGCCTGCTTTCAGAAGAACACTGAAGTATTTAGAGTGAAACTTCAAATGTGTTATGGAAATAGGGTTCAGCCCTTTCTTCAAGGGACCAACCTGCAAGAATCACATATTATATATCTAGTTTTAGATCATTATACTTCGTATATACCATAAAAAACACGTATACTTTAATCAAAGCAATTAAGAACGACACTTAACTATATGGATTCCATGTTCCTCCCCATGCACAAGATAAGCAAAAACACCTCCTAATACGACCACCAGCAATGGAGCAATAGCTGGCACCCAAAACAATCTTGGAACTTTTGCTTTCTGTATAAATCCGAAAAAAAAAATTACACAAAAAAAAATAAGACAGTAAAAGTAATAAACAATGAAAGAAAGGAAAAAGGAATAAAGAACACTATACTCCGAGAAGTGCCCACTCACCACATACTTGCTCAGAAACAACAAGCCGATAAAGCATACCCCAACGAGCACACTCTCCCATCTCCACTGAGAATATAGAGGCAAAAAGTTAGCCATTGTCCTAAAAACAAATTAAAATAAGTACAGAACTAAAGTGAGAAGAAAACGAAAAAGTTTATTCTTACTTTTGGCTAAGAGGATCTATAATTAATCATGGGCTCCAATAATAAAGATTTAGGATATTTTACCTAAATGGGAGTATAGGACGACAACTATGATGATCATGGGTGAAGGCAACGATGGACGAGCGATGACAAAAGTCAAAGATATTTGGTAGAAAGCAAAGGAGTATTTTTGTCAGGTTGATAAGGAAAATATATCGTGAGATAAAAATTAATTATAGATTAAAAACCTAATAATAATTTTTTTTAATGTAAAATACCCCAAGATTTATTTTTGCTTCTGTCAGTTAATTCAATTCTATTAAGTAAAATTAGCTAAATCTATCCGTAAAATCATGAATACTGAAACACTACGACAACAAATATTCTTCTTTTATTTTGAAAAAAATTAAATTCTATTTATGGTTTTGGGAGCATTGACAACTCATCATTCCAAATTTGATATGTTGACAGATACCTTGAATGGTGTGTGACAGATACCTTGAATGGCGTGTCCAGATCCTTAAATGTAAATAATTATAGACCATGATAATATAGTGATTAAAATTAAGATTTTTGGTATGTGAAGATAGAATATGTTTCTTTCACTTAATCTATAAGATTCAATCTAGAATGATTATGATACTACATGAGATCATTCATTTAATCCTCTTTTCAGTCTCTTCTCATGCATAAATATTCTCTTGTGTGGCTTAATCAACTCTCACTATATTAGTTAGGGTAGGTGATATGATCATTCGGTTCTCAATTGTAACCTGATTTTGATTAGAATGAATTGATAGGACTAATACATTTGTTAGATGGGATTTCAAACAAGAGAAAAGGAGGGAGGAGTTCCTTCTATTCGATTCTTCTCTATTAATCTCCATTAAAGAGATTCTCATTATTTTTTCCCATAACCCCGAGAATCTAACCATTTAATCTATTTAGAATCTGAAGACACCACATACATAACGTTAAGATCAACAGAGAGTCTAAATAGGATCTGCGAGATGAATCTACTGACCTCGCTTGTGTGGGAGAAAACGAAGTGCAACACTGAGACGACATCAGTCTTGGTGGTGAAGTGTTTCAATCCAAGCACTCCCTTGAGCTGCTGCATGATGACTATGATCGCCGTTCCCCCCATGAAACCGGTGATGGTCGAACGCGATAAGAAGTCCACCAGTATCCCCAGCCTGCGGTCGATCATTCATCTCAGAGCTCTCTCGGGTTGGTATCAATTCCATGGCCGAAGACATTACCATCCTTACCTGAAGATCCCCAGAGCCACTTCAAAGACCCCGGTGAAGAAGGCTGCGGTGAAGAACAGATTCATGTATAGGTCCGGGCTCTCGGTGGCCGAAACCTGACTTCCGATCATCGAAGCCAGTAACAGCGAGACTGTCGCTACGTTTCCGACCGCCAAGTTCATGGAGCTACCGAATATGCCGTAGATCAGCGGTGGCACGAAGCTCACATCTGTGACGCAAACATAGACGTATATGAGTGTCGCATCGGTACTCTCTGTTGGTGCCACCAGCGGAAGACCACTACTTACAGAGGCCGACGACGGGAGGAAGGTTGGCGAGACGGGCGTAACTGATGCCTTGCGGGATGGCGAGGGTGGCGATGGTGATGCCGGCCAGGAGGTCCGACCGGAACTTGGCGAGGGTGTATCTCGGCGCCCATTCTAGCATGGGTACCAAGTACTTCGCCAGGCTGCATGCGGCGGCGCAACCCGACTGGTGCTTCAGTTGGCGGAACGGGTCGTCCGGCAAGAACGTCTCCTTGAGGTCGGATCGGAACGACGCGAAGGACGATCTTGGGTTGGTGAGATTCACTTTCTTGCGGTGGTGGTGGTGCTGCTGCTGCGGCAGTTCCAACATTTCCATCTTAACCAAAGACTGAGGGAGCCAGGAAAGAAGAGAAGGCAAAAAGGTGCTGCCACAAAGAGAAGGGTCAGATATTGCTCTATATATAGAGCGAGCGAGCGAGAGAGAGAGAGAGAGAGAGAGAGAGAGTATGGGCGTGGTGGGAGTGGGTGAGAAGATATGTGGGATTGGGCACTGATGGTAGCAATGCAAAAAAGTTATGGATTGGTGAGGTCCACCCCAAGAATTCTCGCAGCCTGGACACCGCTAATTGATCTTAAATTGGATAGTTCAATGGAAAGACGAATAAGAACTTCCAGAAGAAGTATTCGGTTACATATGTACTTATTCTTAATTTGGTAAAGAAGTATTAGATTCCATATATACGTACCCTTAATTCGGTACTTATTGAGGATGATTAGAGGCATGCGTTATGGATCTCATGCCCGCCTGCTGCATTCGCATCCGCATCCGCATGCGCCTCATTCGGTCGTGACTTAAGTTGCGATTTAGGCTTTCCTTTTTTTTCATTATTTAAGAACAAAAAAATTCTAATAAAAATCTCACCAGATGTGCATGCATCATAGAAGAAAAATTCAAAGGAAATGAATCCTTTCAGAACAATCCAATTAGCTTTCATGGTAGATCTTATATTTCTTTGATAACACAAGAATCAGTAGGTCAATAGCCAAGGCTTTCCTTTTTATTTGGTGGGTTAAGTTTTGCGTCACTTCTGAATAGCATAAAAGAACAGACACAGTAAATAGATTCGGAGGGACACATGAAACCTATGTGGAATAAGAATCCTATATGCTCTCCGATTTGGAAGGATAAAACTCACATATAATAACCCGAATTACGTGTATGGTTAATATCCATTAGGAATAAAGAGATCGGCTTTGCATTCGGCAACAAACAAAGATCCATAGAATAATATGATGAGGTCAAAGATGATGGGATATAAGTGGACTGCCATCATATGCAGCTTTGTCGGAGGCAGTGGACATGGAAACTGCATGCGATTATGAGTTACCACTCGAGCACTTATACAAGTGTTGATGAGGATAATAGTTGCGATAAACTTGTGTGACATCAACTGTCCCAAATAATGCCTCACAGCACCTGGTCAATGCAGATCGGAACGTCGATCGAGGCACATTAATACTCTGCTCAAGCTCGATCCCTCACGCCAGGCCAACGTCGGTATCAGAAGCTACCAGAAGTATGATTCTACCCCTGCGGGTAGGCACATCAAACGACAATAACTCTCACTATAAAAACCCTTGCGTTCTGAGGGGAAAAAGGAGGAGAAAGGAGAGAGAGAAACACAAGAAGACACAACTTAGCTAAAGAATCCCCCTACCACAATCCGCTAATTTGATCGTCGAAAGGGTCGGGTCAAGTTTTCCGACTCGACCTGTGTGCAGGTACGAAGACGGTGGCCTCCCACTAAACGCCCAAGCGAGGAGCCCCTCCTGGAGGGAACGACGACCCCTTTTCCGATCAGACCATCGCAGCTGATCACCTCAGCGGACTCAAAGGTCATCCCGGGAAGATCCCTCATCATCCGAATACGAACCAAGCCGCGTCGGCCCCGAGGCCACGACTTAAAGTTGGTTACACCACCAAGTGTATCTAAGAAGAAGAACACACTGAGAACGTGTATGTGTTATATATGTATATGTATTTGAAACTAATACAGTTACACGAGTTAGAAGAATGACAAGCAGAAACTATCGATACCATCTGCAGTACACATACTGAAGAAGAGTTTTCAGGTAGTCACAGAACCATATCAGTGTTCCTAAAGCATGCATGAAATAAAATGCTTTACGAAGGGCTGTATATGAAATCCTAAAGGAACTATCACATGAACTCGCAAGAATTCTAGTTGGCTTTTCGGATGAAAACGGGCCAGGAGCTTCGACCAAGTAAAGTCTTTCAAGCATGTTCAACATGCATGGGAAGAGCCAAACTGCTGCACGCAAGAAAAAGTGAGAAGATCCAACTTGCCACCCAAACAAATTTTTATTGAGAGGCCAGCAGTAGGAATATATGGAGAAGCAAAGTTAAAGCTTGGATTCTTGTTCTCCTTCTGGCATTAACGATTGCTTTATCTTAAAGAAAAAGACTGTGTCGACCTATCTGATTAGAGCCTATCCAGATCATAAACATATATCCACTGAAATCGCTGCAATCATGATTATTCTTTCTCCATAAACTCCAAATCACTTGGAATGAAAAGACCTTCTTCTCCAAGATTCTATATCTCAACTTCGTCATGGAGGAGAGAGAATAGACCACGGTTGAAATACCCCAACATAATCAACAAGTGAAAGCAGATCTGTGATGTTCCTTTGTTGCCTTGTCCACTTTGGAAGACAAGACATGGGAAGGAAGAAATATATGCCTAGATTTTGATTGGAAGGCTTTTCACATGCTTTTTAAAAGCTCTTTAAGAGCTTCCAAAGGTGGATTTGCCGCATGATTACTTAGTGAGGCCCTCACGAATGTGCCTTCCTCGGTTAAGCACAAATCTTTGCACCAAACCAATTACGCCCTCCTCGACAGTGCATCCCACATAAGCGGTGAGGTAAGGTTCCACATTTGCACGTAAAGTCAACATGTGAATCCGTAAGCTTGTGAAGACTTTTGAAGATCACAGTCTGGGAAATGTTTACTAAGATGATCAAGATATTGATTATTGACAATAACATTGAAATGTTCTTAGTCAGATCGATAAATCTTTAAGTTTTGCTAAAGTTTATTATGCTCATCGGATCATCTTCTATATATTTCCAATCACGCCTTATTACTTCTAAAAAATAAGATCATCAATTCAACCAAACAATTAAGCTTCTAAGTATCTAACTCTTTCAATCCTTAGTGGTCCATCTTTTTTCATCTCATACACATGAATGATAAGTCGACAAGATTAACGTCAAATCATAGTATGTTATGATCATTTTGTTTGAATTTTATTAATAATGATGTGTATTAGTCTATGGTTATTCTCAAAGTTTGATTACTTAGAGAATTTTTTTTCTAATTATAATTTGCCTTTAGATTGTTCATGTACAATTTTGTATTTGTTGATCAATAAAAACAAACTATACTTCTGTTCTATTACTCTATGCTTCTCCCTCCATTTAACAATGTAGTAGTAACATATCTATAAAACCAAAAAAAATATAATAGAGTAATAAAACCCACAGCTTGTTACTATTTCTACCCTTGTTTTCTTAACAACAGTAATGGATGGCCTCTGAGAATTTTATCAACCTATTATTTTATATTTTGATAGTCGATATAATTATTGTAACATTTGGGTGGAGACCGAGGAAAAGTATTGATAAGACAAGGACAATAATATTCCATAGGTTGACAAAAGTATTAAAAGAGTGAATATCTTGAATACCTAAGTCCCGATAAAATTTTCTGTTTATTTATTATAAAATATCTTGAATCATTTTTTTTTTATTGTTAAGGATAGAAAAGACATCCAAGAAATAGATAAAATGTGAATACGACCCTAATTGAATATAGAAATAATAAGCAGAGATACATTTGATATTTCAGAGAGTATAATTCGAAATATAATTATTTCTAGTACAAAAGTTCGTATATCATGAAATGCCCTACTTTTAAGTGTGATTTAAACTATTAATTTATGTAATTGAAAACAACCAATTAAATTTATGATGAAATCCAATTTGAGTACTTCAAGATAGACCTCAGAGCAATAATATAAGGAAGATCGATCTATTTATATTATAAAAAATATATTTAAAAGATAAAATATGAATTATTATAAAATATCTTGAATCATTTTTTTTTATTGTTAAGGATAGAAAAGACATCCAAGAAATAGATAAAATGTGAATACGACCCTAATTGAATATAAAAATAGTAAGCAGAGATATATTTGATATTTCAGAGACTATAATTCGAAATATAATTATTTTTAGTACAAAAGTTCGTATATCATGAAATGCCCTACTTTTAAGTGTGATTTAAACTATTAATTTATGTAATTGAAAACAACCAATTAAATTTATGATGAAATCCAATTTGAGTACTTCAAGATAGACCTCAGAGTAATAATATAAGGAAGATAGATCTATTTATATTATAAAAAATATATTTAAAAGATAAAATATGAATTATATTTGAAGGACCAAAATCTGAATCATCACAGAAATAATAAAAATAAAATTTCTAAATAAAAAATCAAATAATGGTATATTATGTCAAAATAAATTAGATAATACTTTAAAGAGGATGGCAAAATCTTAGTAGTCGCTGTATGATAAGATACGGGTCGGATCCGCATCGGGTTCCGGTTATGTCCGCTACAACGACGCCTGCCTTTCTCGCAGGCGCAGTAGTTCTCTCGGGGGATGAGTTGCTCGTGATCCCTTCCGCTCGCTCGAGTTCTTAGGGTGGTTGCTGAGGCAGCAGCCCAAAGAATATGGCGGCCAGAAGGAGGAAGTCCGGAGGTTTGCCGAGCGTTGTGGTGCCCTCATATAACTGTGCAAGCGGAGCAGGTCTGGGAGCTCTAAAACCGCCTCGGGCCGTCCTTCTTTCGATCTAAGTCTTTCGAGCAGGAGGTGCGATCTGACCACCGAATAGCGGGAGCTTATTGAGTAAGTCGGGTTCTAGCCAAGCAAGGTAGGAAATTTAATGGATTGCGATCGAGTTTCGCAGTGTTATTATCATCATTTTTCTGTTTGATGAAATGAGGCTTTGCCCTGAATGCTTGATCGAAGGGCCCCAGTCATTTCTTCTTGAATGGTCATACTTGATAAGTAGAGATCCAAGTTATTGCATATGGGGAGATCATGAGACGTTTCGCAATTTGACATGATTGCTAGAACATGTAGTAACGGATGGTGGAGATGAATCCGAAATGATGTATTTGGAAGAAAGGAGGAAAATATCAAAGAGATAGGATCATGGAGCTTTAGCAGTTTTCTGAATTAGTTTTAAGGAAAATAAAAAAAGTGTTTAAGGAAGAAGGAAGAATAATAATCATACAGAAAAGGAAAAGAAAGTTACATGATTGGTTAACCAACACACACAGTAGCAATTGTCTAAATTAATCTTCTTTCCTTGAAATAAGTTACTTTGCTGAAATTTTGTTTCATATGTTAGTTGTATTGACTGCCACTTCCAACCCAATAGTTTCATGCTGAAACATCGTGTTTCTCTGAAAAGCTGAAATTGAAAACTTGTTGGAAAGCTAAATGGCTGTATTTTTTCTACAAATACACAGAAGGATGATGCCTGTTCAGGAAATTTTGTACTTATTATGAACATTTACATCTTCAAATGAATTTAGTAGAAATTTGTTTCAGTGTGCAATTATTTGTATCTCCTAAATCTGGTAACTTACAAGGTGGTTGTGTGTCGACGCAGTTCTGATAAGCATCTAATGTGACCTCCATAGTCAACATTTTTAATGTGGCTCTTGTTGTCGATGATTAGTTTCAGTTTTACTTTAGCATTTTATTGCGACACACTAGTGAAGCCTAAGGAGGATTTGAAAAAGAACAATAGGCACTTATACTGTACCTTTTGCAAGGATGTGTAACCACTGTCTATGTATAGCTGGGTCTTGAACTCTTCTTTTATTGTTATTGTTTAGGATTTTTTTTTTGCTGTATAATCAATCAATTTAAGCTAAAACGTACATTCGTGAACCTAAATTCAGTTGTGAGATTGAGATCAAGAAGGAGATGGAACAATTAAAGATTGCATGAATGGTCTTTGCAACAAAAACTCTGCTAACTTAACAAAGTCACGGGATTAGTGCCACATAATTTTCCTTGAAGCTTCTTTATCAAGTAGTTTTTTTGTATTTGTAAACTCTGCTAAATTTTCTGGTCCTGAAGGCTGAATTAAGAATTTTAGCTGGAGTGCAAAATGAGTTACTACTTTGTGAGGCTTCTTCACATGATACTAATGCTTTGAAGGTTCAAACTTCAAAGTAAGCTTTGTTTCAGTAACAGCTACTGTGGAAGTTTTCTTTGACAGTATTATGTACCTTGGCCATGCTTAGCTTGAAGGTAAGAAATAAACCCCATAAGGACTGTTAGAGTGGCATGTATATGAAAATATTTCTTGAAGGAAGAACTTATTAAATAAATCCTTGCTAAATCTTTTTGGTAGTTTTTTCTTGTCAGGTACACATTTAGCATTGTACAAGCTCCTGTTGCGAGCAAAATACAGAGCAATCTGAGTACTTGCTATGTGATTGTATTCTGAACAACTCTGTTTCATCACACTAATTCATTCTTGTACTCAGTGAAATGACATGCTTCAACTGCCTCTTTGACTGAAAGAAATACGGCTTGTTCCCCTATTAGATCAAGATACTTTGATGACTTCAACTTCTCTGTAATCTCTATCCTAGGATTTGTCAAAGCGATCTGCAAGGCAATGTAAAGAGCTTAGTTATAGTAAATGGAAATTAAACAAGTTACTAGGTTCTACTGATTAGGTTTACCTTGATTCCTCTTCTGTCAACATATCTATGGACCTCTGCTAGCATGCTGATTCCAGTATTGTCAATGGAGGTCACTCCTATCATAGAACATGCATAAATTTGTGTGATTAGTTCCATCAAGTACAAATGTGTTTTTCATACAAAATTGTTTATTCTTCCTTTGTCAATCAAGTAGGATGAAAAGCTTGCATCATTCTTTTCATTCCATTAAAATCTCTAACATATACTATTAAACAATTTACAAATCCATTAATGCTACAGTCAGGATTAATAACCAAATTTACATCTTTCTATCGTTGTGGTTCAAGTTCCTTTTGGGTGTCAAGGTAGCTCACATTACATGACTACCAGTCCATATGCAAAAATTGGCCCATCCAAAAGTTCGTAAGCAAACAGCCCTAAATCAAGAATTTGAGGCAAGTTGACCTCGGATTTTGATGGCTAAATCCCTTTCAATTATATTAATGTATGCTGATTTTTTTTCTCCATCCTAATTTTTTGATCTAGATGATTATAAAGTTTTTTACATTCATTTTATGGATGACACTTTGATCAAGGATTGGCAAAACTCTTACTAGGGCATGCAGTTGGTTTTGTTTAAGGGTCTTACTTTCAACTGTTCTGCAAGAAAACGCAAGTTATATAAATGTTTGACCATCTTTATATTCTTATTGTTAATCCTCATCTCTAATGTCTGGATCAAATTCAAAATGATAGGCGTTGCAACACCTGATCACTGAGAGCCCGGCTTAGGTCATCTTCAAGATGGTGTATGAAGCCCTTCAAGTATCATGGAGAATAAAGAAAGCAGCCATTCAAATGAGACTTACCACTCATGTCCAAGATAAGGTACTGCAGATTTACTTCACCCTTCCTAGCGATGGCATCTTCCTCTTCTATCCATCTCAAGATCCTAGTTTTGGTAAAAACAAGAGATAAGCTTGAACCAAGCTTTGATAGATCCTCAACTATCTCAGGTCCATGACATCTTTTCCTTACCTCTCTCTCAGATAGCCAGTGCTTGCATAGTAGATAGGAGAACCCAGTTTCAAAATCAAAATGTTAGGGAAAAGAACTGAGTCTGGATATTGCTCCACATCACAATAAGCTTCAGTTCCCTTTATGTTTCCGAGCTTGCAAGTAGTTGGTCGTGCCACATATAATAATGCCCTCAGTATTGACAGACCTACCTGTACAAGAAGGTAATATAGAAAACATGGTTGATATGGACAAAAGATGATGATGATATAGAAATAGTTTGGGCAGCCAATTGATTTGTCTTTAATCAATTCCTTTATGATCAAACAGCCAAGAAAGGGAGAAGTTAACTTGTGCATAGGAGTCTTACTGAAGCCAAAAGTCCAGCAGTCATGCTGAAAAATATGACACCAAAGAAAGCTGCCACGCAAATGACAAAGTCAAACTTGTCCACCTCGAGAAGGCGGTGAGCTTCTTCAAACTTAATGAGCCCAATCATGGCAACGATGATGATTGCTGATAGGGCTACTAGAGGAGTGTATTTGAAGAGAGGTGCCAAGAACAACAGCACCACCATGATGCACATTGACATGACCACATTTGACATTGCCGTCTTGCATCCAGCATGGAAGTTAACTGCTGACCTGGAAAAAGGACCTGTAATATAACGTTGCATTATTCATCAAAAATTTATTTGAAAAACCATTATTAATCTAACATATCTCTTGTTTGTTCAGACTGTAAAGTGTTCTGATTACAAAAAAAATTCCAAGGACAGATTTGCTTGGTAAATATTGTATGCATCTTAAGATATTTATTCTATAAAAACTCCTGTGTGTTTTGAAGTTCTGGATTTGGTGTGGAGGAATAAAATACATTAAGAAGACAGATTTATCTGAGATGACTTTGTATCCTATTATTTCCACATAATGAATAATATAGGTTTCTTTCTGCGAGCCAAATTATTTTGGAATTTTCATTTACAATTGTTGGTTTCCGTGATTGGTTCTTTTTATACCAAAGTTTTCTTCTTTGTGAGTATACAAATATCAAACTTTATCGAAAAATCTAATCTCACATGAAAAAACATTTTATATATAAGAGGAAAATAAGATCGAGGATGAAGCATTCACCAGTGGTGAGATAGCATGAGAAACAAGAGCCGATGATGTTCATCATCCCAAAAGCTATCATCTCTTTGTTCCCATCTACTTGTTCATTTTTCATCGTTGCCAGACTTCTTCCAACTGCTATTCCTTCCTAAAACAAAAGCATAAAAAGGTTAATAAATAAACGTGCTTGCTTGCACAATAATTCTAATTAAGATTTAAGGAAGCCGAAATCATTATGATCGTGTACTTTACCGAAAGAGCTAGGAAACCAGAAATCAAGACTGCTTTCAGGAGAACACCGTGATATTTAGACTCGAACTTCAAATGTGATATGGAAATAGGATTTAATCCTTTATTCACAGTGCCAACCTGCAAGAATCACGAACCGCTTCACACCAAGTGCCCAAACCTTTGTTTATTTATAGACAAAGTAAAATGAGAACTTCCAAGAAAGCTCAAAGTTTCTCTAAGAGACTTCACCAGCATGTATCTATAGAAGAACTACAAGAAACGAGAAAAGAACGAAGAAGATTACAGATATGTGGAATGGTTTGGATCAACACTTAACTATAAGGATGCCATGGTCTTCGGCATGTATAAGATAGGCAAAAAGACCTCCCAAAACGACCACCAGCAAAGGAGCGATGGCCGGCAACCAGAACAACCTTGGAACCTTTGCTCTCTGTGTAGATTACGAAGAACATATATCAACTGTGTGAAAAGCTGATCATGATGGTCAATGGAGTAATTAATGAAGAGAAGGAAGGAAGAAAAGCACAGTAGATTTGGCTATATATTTCCTCGCTCACCATATGCCTGCAGAAAAGCAACAAGATAACTAAGCACGTCCCAAAAACCGCACTCTCCCATCTCCACTGAAACACCAAAGATAACCAATTGAGAGAGAAACACCAAAGATAAGGTGACTTAAGGAAACTAATGAAGTTTAATGTCGAGAAAATGACATCGACGCCCCCATCTTATCCCCATAAGATGTGAATTCCATAAGGTAAAAGTATATACTAAAACTCAAACTTCAATTGGATTCATCAGTTAAATAAACAAAATTAAAGAACTGAATTCTTAACCACTCGAATAATTAATCAGAACATTTGAGTCTTAAAAAGATCGAAATGTCTTTATTTTTTATTTATTAAGAATGCTTCTCTCATCCTTTTATTTGATTTTATTATGTAAATGAAATTTTATAATATTATTTGTATATTTATATTTTAGCATATTTTATGATTTGACTGATCGACTCAATAGTTCAACGAAGTCTTTCTTCATGGAATCAAATGGTCGGTCCAATCTTATTAGCTTAACAAGTTTGAGCAAAACCATTATTTACTCTCTTTAAATATGAAGCCATAAGTTAGGATTGATAATTAAAATTTTATTCATAAGAATTGAAGAAATAAAGGATTAATTGCTCTTTAAAGACACATATCTCTCAAAGATTTATGATTTTAATGTGTGATGTGGACGAAAAATAGCTCGAATGTTTGTGAGATTTCTTTTAATGCTTTTATATGAGAAAATATGGAAAGAGATTTGGGTTAACTCAAGAAAAGGTTTTTGGATAAAATATGTCGAATCATATAAATTTATATTTTATTACGGCTGATTCAATGATTCTTTCTTTGTCGGAATCCTTCCTCCCAAAAACGAATCTTTGAATCCCTGGATGGATTCGCCGCACTAACCTCCTCCCTGTGGGAGATGATGGAACCCAAAACAGAGACCACATCGGTCTTGGTGGTGAAGTGTCTCATTCCGAGCACTCCCTTCAGCTGCTGCATGATGACTACTGTCGCCGTCCCTCCCATGAACCCGGTAATGGTCGACCGTGAGAAGAACTCCACCAGGATCCCGAGCCTGAGATCAAGCGCTCGTTCAGCAAGAGCTTATTTGTGTGTGTATGTGTGTCTATAGATACTCTCACCTAAAGATCCCCAACGTGGCTTCGAAGATCCCCGTGAAGAAGGCGGCTTTGAAGAACATATGCTTGTACAGTTCCGGGCTCTCCAACGGCGATATTTCACTTCCTATGACAGACCCAAGAAACAGAGAGACCGCGGCCGTGTTTCCCACCGCCAAGTTCGTCGAGCTACCGAACACCACATAGACCAGTGGCGGCACAAAGCTCGAATCTGCGATGTGAAGAGCCACGGTAATGCCAGTCCGATGAGTGCAAAGCAGTAACATTGAAATCCAACTAGCAGTTCGTGAGAGAGAGAGAGAGAGAGAGAGAGGACTTACAGAGACCAACGATGGGGTGAAGGTTGGCGAGACGGGCGTAGCTGATGCCTTGGGGGACGGCGAGGCTGGCGATGGTGATGCCGGCGAGAAGGTCGGCCTGAAGCTTGGCGAGGGTGTACTTGGGTGCCCACTCCAATACGGGAACGAAGTACTTCACCAAGCTGCCTGCGGCAGCGCACCCCGACTGGTGCTCCAGATGCCGAAATGGATCGTCAGGCAAGAACGTCTCCTTGAGGTCGGACCGGAATGATCTGAAGAAGGAGCCTCTCTTCTCCAAGTTCACCTCGTTACGGTGCTCTCCCAACGTTCCCATCGAAAGAAGACGACGAACCGTGATCGGGTCTCTCAAGCGCCAAGGGAAGAGGGGGATCGAGCTTGTGTGTCATCTCCTCTAGCAGTACGAGTATAAATCGACAACACGTGGGACCGTGATGATCGTGAGCTGAGGCCGTCCCCGGGCATCACCTGAAGAGCTCCCTGACCGAGACGGCCTTAGCTAGTTATCAGGCTCAGGATGGCGAGCAATCTCTCTCAGGGATGAGAAAAGTCTTGTCAGGGGATCCTTCGTCATTGATGTCTCAGTCACCAGTTCATGTGTGTGCCCGTCGCACGGCGCAATCACGGGTCGGATGACATCAGACGATGCGTGGCTCTCACCGTCGGTGGACGAGAGAGCCGCGCAGATGAATCTGAGTGGCTTCTGATGGTTCGTTGATGGCATGCGGTGAGTGGTGTTTTGCGGGGGAAGTACGTTCCGGGGAAGCACAGGAATATAAGAGAGTATATCCAAATGGAACACGGAAGTATGAACCGACGCTTCATTGCAAGTAACATCTCTCACTCTCAGTGATTTCCGTTTTAGCTTGTCGAAATTGTCATGCGCTACCGATGACATCATGAAACTCCAATATGAGGTTCCGTAAGTGTCGAAGAGAGAAGAAAAGAGAACTCGCCAGTTGGGTGCTTGTGTTCTTCTTCTTCTTCCTGCTGGGAAAACTGCAGAGTCGATAAATTTTGATGACGATATCTACCAGTTCGAAGTGCGTGGTATTCATGGTAAGAAGAAATCAGTCAAACATGGAGAAAAGACGAATACGAGAACAGAACGTACTCCGTTTCGCCTCCGTGCTGTCGTTTTCGGGTTTGAAGACGATGTGCGTTGATCACGAAATCCAAGTTCTGTGGGCAGGACATGCCGAATGCACGTACGCCAATTTAATAAGTCAATGAAAAGAACAAAACCATAGCTATTAGACCACTACAAGTTCTAAGTGGGAGTCCTCCACCTAATCCAAAGGAAAAATAGGTGCACAAGTTGGTGAGATACAAGACGAGTGTTATTTGAGTCTAGGTTTAGTTTCATATAATTTCAAAGCTATGGATTGAGTGTCACATAATTTTTAGCGAAACACCTGTCTTAAGAAAAGATAATACATTACCAAAGTAATTTGTACATCCTAAGTTTTGGATATCAGTAACTCGTGCATCCTCAAAGGAAGCTTCAGCTTATCACTTCTGATTCCACCTTGTTTGGCTTGAAACAGTCGCTCCTTAATAGCAGCCAACCCATTATAACAGCTATTCATGTCTTACAAGAATTTACAACCTGCAAAAATAAAAACACCATTAGAATCTCGGACCAGAAAGTCTGCCCCACCCTCCTGCAATTGATACAGATACGAGCCATTAGCCATTACAACAGCTATTCATGTCTTACAAGAATTTACAACCTGCAAAAATAAACACTCTAATAGAATCTCGGTCCAGAAAGTCTGCCCCACCCTCCTGCAATTGATACAGATACGAGCCATTAGCATTAAGATTAAACCAATCTTGCTGAGGTTTAGTCCAAGACATCCTGATAGTATTTATCTCACAAGTTAATCCCTGAGATACAAACATAGTTTTACAACTGGATTCATAGGCAACAGTTCTAAAGAAGATATTAGTTGGAGTGACTTCAACTCTTAAGGAAAGACATTTCATTTCTGACATTCCAAATTGGGTAGAGCCCATATACTATCAACTGCTCCTAGGTTTAAGCAACTTTGTTACACAATTTGACTCGCTTTCTAGAGCCATTTGCCAACATACAAAGTACAGCCAGACTTAATATAGAAAAGAGATAAAAACACATTTAGCAACAGTTTTAGAGAATTATTTAAGTTGACATGCAGCTATAGTTTGATCCGTGGAGCTGTGGACGCGACTGTTTCCACACATTAGACTGAGACAGATTACCAATGTCCTGGTAATGTATATACTCATCACTGCTTTATGGATGGCTCAAAGCACATTAGTCAACTTGCTCTACTGGCAATTGCATGTGATCGGTTTTACTCTCTTTTAGTTTTTATGTACCAAAACTGATGCGATCCTTCAAGAATAAAACCAGAGAAAGACATGCTTTTTTCACCTCCAGAACGTGGATTATACAAAGAGACTCGCCTACAAAAGAAGCCCTAGTAAGAGACCTAGATGGTGATTTATACCATCACTCCACAGCCTATCCTTCACGGGCGTCTAAAGCACTCGGAAAGAAAGCAATCAATTCCTCCTCAAAGCTTCAGCTCAATAAGAAAGGACTGAACAAACTTGCTGCCGGCAACAATGTAATGTGCAGATGATTAGAAAAAGAAAGAACAAAAAATATAAATCCAAAGACATGTTTATAAGTTCATATTTATCTCTCTCCATTGTAATCTCTCTGTAGCTTTCCCGAGTTATAAGTGCATAAATCGACATGGTATTCATGATCATCAGAAGCATGGTCAAACAAGGAGCAATAATGAACACGAGTACAGAGCCTAGTTCAATACTGTAAAATAAATGCATTACCTTTATTATGGTGCTTCAATAACTTCTTGTTTCCTTAACATTTGTCGATCATGCAACCATCTTTTCCACCAAGTTAATGACATCCTAGAAACACACAGAAAACCTATATAAATAGATCAAACGGTTCTTTGTTGCTCATAAATGTTCCAGCATAAGAGATGCATATTCCTGACATTGGATACATCTCAAGAATATTTTGGTGAACATTATCTCACAGGATGAGAGATTATTTACAGCTAAGACCAAATTGATTGGCCTGAAGGATTAACCACCGGACACAAATTGTATATGGAGCTAAGCCTTTTAATTGAAGGCTAATTACCTATGGAAGGGAATAGAATTTACATCAATACATCATGAGAATTTGGTGGAAAACAGGGATCGAATATTCACCACTACAAGGTAGAAAAATGTTTACTCCTACACCAACACTTATTTTATAATAGATCTACAAATGCAAAATTCTTCTGTCAACATCTTTCTTTTACCACCTTGTGTTTACTTCCAGGAGCTAGACGCCAAATTTGTACTTTGACAACCACTGTCTGCACATGTCAACCACGGGCAGTGCATTTGCAACTGATGCCTGCAGGATTAGAAAAGTGAACAAATTCAAGGCAAATTCAAAGAAAGAGATGCAAGAAAATCATAATATATCTTAATTGGGTTAGACATCTCATAATTTAATCAAGCAAGAGTTGCAGATTAAATAATATCCGGGAAAAAAAATCAACAAGTCGATAGAAAATTGATGAAAGCATGACATGGCTGATGCCTGTTGCTCAATTTTCTAGATCTATGTATTAAAGTCAATGGCAGAGGAGAGTTCGTTCACAAAACATGTCAAGTATGTTTCATTTTTAACGATGGTGGGTTCCTCATTTCAATGAAGTAGGAATATGATCTAATGGTGAACGGTTCGAAATCTATTTAACATGTAAAAGTACAGCATGATGTCAATATCTAGTACAATCAAAGTGAAAACCCACATGCCTAGAATGCAACTTCTGAAACATATGTTTAATTGTCGTTAAGACATCAAACCTGATGTGCAACATATTCAACGTCAGCAACACTTCCACTTCGGGAAGCTATCTGGAAAGCACTCTTTAGACGGCCACAAACAACGCAAGCTAAAACTTTCCTATAAGAAAGAAAAATCAAGTACAAGGAAACACAATTCAGATATACAAGTGAACATACAGTGCTGCTGAAATTTTTGTTAGTTTAATTTGAAATCAACAGGTAAATTTAACTGGAAATTCACTGTATCTTATTTTATTTCACAAGCACATTCACAAGCAGGAAGTAATAGACTTCCTGCATATGTATACGGTAGAGGAAACCACTTGAACAGAATGTATGAGTTTATTAATAGGATTTCTACTAGAAATTGTTGGATGTGCTCAGACGAATTGAAATATATAAACCTTAGAAAGCAAAAGTCAGTGAAAGAAAGAAGACAGGTAACTTGGAAAGACCATGTAACAGAAACAACAGACCGCAATGTCCCAACTATACGCAGTCAGCTATATGTATCTTTTCCTGTCAATGAGTTATGTACAAATCAATCTTGGTGGTTAAATTAAGAACATTCAATTGTTACGTGTAGTTTCTAGTAAAGCCTTCTTAGGCCAAGGATTTTACTCTTTGTATATAATTTTTTTCTTCTTTTTTTCCCCCCACTCTATTAAATTTGCAAGTCGTGACCGTGAAGATTATTCAAAGAGACAAAAGTAATTGGTTTTAATGACTTACAATATACAGTCAGACCAAAAATCATTTGAAAATTAGTCTAAACAAGGATTTAAATATCAAATGGAGTGGCATATAGCAACTAGTATTCACTGATCTGACCCTGTACCTGCATCAAAATATATTAACTCAATAACAGTAATACATTTTATTTTATTTAATGATACCAGATAGTATGAATCAATATACTGCCTAGGATACTGGCACCATATCAACCTGATAGTTTACCGGTATTTAAACCATTGGAAACCAAATTTTAAACTAAGTCTAAAAGCTTAGGCAAGATGGTCCAGTTCAGAATGACCAAAGGTATGAAGTATTATTTATGTCTACTCCACTGGACCACTTATGTCTACTCCACCTATAATTAACATAATAACAATAACAAACACAAAGTCATTATTACAAGGACACGAAAGCATACCTGTGACTGCTAATTAGCATGTCTATGAGCCGATCAGGCCGTTCTTTGTGCTTGTTAGCATATACGTTGATGGCAGCTCCAAGAACCTATTAAAATTTTAAATGATGAAACAGCATTTAATTACTAGTACTAATATAACCATTTCTAGATTGTCATCATTTGTTGTAGGTGAATACACATGCAAGGATTTAAATACAAGTCCTTGCTGAATGCCACTAGACAGCAAACTAGCATGGTATATCTTGGTGCATCATCAAAATATTCAAAAAATATCCAAGTGACAGCAGGTCAGGATACCATTTATGGGAACAGAAACTGGACTATTATATATATACATATACACACATATATATATATACATATACATATATATATATACATATACATATATATA